AAGGGTTCTGAAACTTTGTCTGACATACTTTGGACATGTTGCAAGGCAGGATCAGTCCTTGAAGAAGGGTGTCATAGGTGGGAGGGTAGAGGGACAGTGCAGGAAAGGAAGATCATCGATGAGCTGGATTGATTCAGTCACTGGGGTAATGGGGATAGCTGTGTTGGAGACAATAAGATTGGCAAGGGATAGAGCAGGTTTAGAGCTGTTGTACTTAGGGATGTTATGAGTCACAGGAGACTCAACAGCACATAAAAACAAGAAGAAATCTTGTACATGACAAGGAAAAAAATGTTCTTAATAGAAGTCTAAGATGAATACACACTTACGTCCTATGGTATCCACTACAGCCTGGAAAAAAGACTCTGCTTTTCAATGAGAGACATTGAAAGGAATGAGCTCTTTTCTTAAAGAAATTGCTTTTGTGAATGTAACATTCTGCATTTTTTATTCCTATTAAGCATTTAAATGTATACATGGGAGCTTGGGTGGTAGACCTAAGAGTAAATGAGAAATGCAAGAAATGAAATGGCATTATAATTTTTCAAAATAGTTTTAAATCTTTCATATACTCCTTAGCCATTTCTTAGAAGGAGTGTTCAAAAAAAGGAACAAAGTTTTCATACTTTTCCACTATAATTATAAGAACATTTCATTTCCTTTCCTCTCTTATTCCAAAAGGTGGGGGGATAGTTCTTGAGAGAACAGAAAATCCACAGAAATGGATAAAGATTTGCTTAATTAGATTCTGATGACCTCAGGGGGAAAGTGTATTAACCAAATATATTAGATAAAATATAATTAAAACGTCAAATCCTGTCCTCACTGTTCTCAATACCCATATAGTTCTTAGTCAATTGATCAATCCAATTTCTGATTTCTCACTAGTGAAGTTGTATAATGAAAAATTTTTACTGTACTATTTTCATTTAAAACTCTATGCTATATTAAGTCTATCTTTGAAGGTATACAGATGGAATGTTCCCTAAAAGCAAGGATGGTCTCATGTGGTGGGAAGGAAACATGCTGAAAGTAAAGCTGAAAGGTTAAAAAAGAGAGGAAGATCTTTAATGAGATGGGTGGCACCGTGATGCAACAATGGCCTTAAATACTACAGAGATTTCTGAGGATAGCACAGAATCAGGCAAGGTTTCGATCTGTTGTATACGGAGTCAATGTGAGTCAGCATTGATGTAATGACACCATTCATACACGAGTATTTGAAACGTTTTTTTCAAAATCAAGGGTAAAAGAGCAGAAAGTGAGCTAAAGATTTCTTCCTCTCATCTCCCATGAAGAAGAGGCCTTCAAAGCCTGTTTTTATTATGTGTGTATGTATACATAAGTATGTATTTATTATTTGTCTATAAATAACTGTAGGAATATGTATGAAAACATAAGAAAGGTCATTTACTTAGTGTCTCCTAAAGTAGGTGTGAACTAGACTACAGAAGATATTATGAAGGTTCAGAGCCTGTAATATTTGTTTGTATTTTAGTGAGGGGAAAATCAAAACACAAAGCAAAGACAGAATGCAAATAAATTAAATCAGGTTCATTTCCCCCTTCTTTAAGTCAATATTTATATCTTGCCCACACATATATAGACACACTCCACAAGTTGGTGTTTTTTGTTGTGTTTTTTTTTTAAAGCAGGAGTGGCATCCTCTTCCTAAACAACATGCCTCTGGAAACTATGAACTTTGATAAATGACAAAGTTTATCCAAAGGATTCAGGCCTTTTGTTCACAGGATCACTATGAGTCGTGCTCAACTCGACGGCAATCAACAACAACAACAATTTTTGTGAGTGTACCATCGAATTGGATCCGACTGGTGCAGGAGGGAATTGCCCCTCCTTCTCCAGCAGATCATCTAGTAGATTCAAACTGCATGCCTTCAGGATTGCAGTATAGCTTCTTGCCACTAGGCCACCAGAGCTCTCTCGTCACAAGTGTTTTAAAGTAAAATACTTTAAGACTGTTGTGTTAAATTTTGCTGTTCTTACTGGGGTGAGATGATATCTCATACTTGTTTTGATTTCCATCTCTCTTAGAGCTAGGGACTTTGAACATTTCTTCATGTATTTGTTTGCCATCTGAATGTCTTCTTTGGTGAAGTGTCTGTTCATATCCTGTGCCCATTTTTCAATTGGATTATTTACCTTTATCTTGTTGTGGTGCTCAAGTATTTTATAAATTCTAGATATAAGTCCCTTATCTGATATGT